GAATTTTTGGCCGCCAGATTTCATCTTTATTCGATCTGTGGCGTCTGTCTCGTGCTCCCTCTTTGCGTCGTTTGTGCTGCTTTTTGTGGCTGACTCGTGATTGGGTCTGGGTCACCTGGACAAATCTTCGTGTGATCGTGTCTTTGCCTCTTTTGAACCGCTGGGTTCTAGAAACTTCTTAGCTTCCACGACAAAGTGCTTGTAGTACTACTACAACGAAAAAGGGCCTGGGTGATGGGTCCCACATGTCAGCTGGATTTTGGGAAACACGTCATTATCTCACATGTCAGCTGGGTTTTATTTAGTAGAAATATAAGTATATAGTAAAAAAGAATGCCCCCCACCTGATAAATACACTTAATTAATTTACTATCATGTTACTATGGATTAATTTTGTACTTACACTAGAGTTGAACTACACTTACAGTGATTGATCAGTTGTAATTCATAGGTACTATTGATGTAACTAGTACTAAGTGAAAGAAGTTTATTAGGGACATGTTTGGGTTATACTTTTAATGGACTATGTTTGCTTTGGTCTATTTTGATTGCAACAATGTCCTCGTAGCCTATTTAGTTTGAATGTACTTTTATTTTGATTTGTCTGCATGAGCAGTGCTCTCGAATTTATTTGAATTTGCAATTCATAGAAATTTTTGGGTTTTTGTGTTCCATAGAAATTTTCTGTTCTTTGTAATTTGTTTATTTTCTTTGATTTGTTTGGTTCATGCAATGTCCTCATATTATTTTTTGGTTTTTGCAATCCATATAAATTTTCATTCTTTGTACTTTGATTATTTTTTTTGATTTCTTTGTATTTGTAATAATTTCTTTGTATTATGTTTATTTGTTCTTGTTTTTATTTGTCCCATTTCATGGTGGATGTAGGAGTTGCATAATTTGAGTGATATTAATGTTTGTTTCACACTGAATTTAGCTTGTTTTGATTTTAGGTGATTTAGCCTTTACGATTACTCGTGTGATCATAGTGTCGGATTGTTTTGCTCGGTAAAATCCAGCAACGTGATCGCGTGAGACGGAATCGGATGGTAGCACACGAGACACAGGGATTTATATCTGGTTGGTAGGCGCAGTCTTGCGCGCTAAATCTCTACTCCATGGTGCGGCTGCTCTTGTATTTGTATGCTCAATTAGTGGGCTATTGCTCCTAGCTATGTAGTAGATTGAAATAGGTGGAAGATGGATCCCGTGCCCGAGGTCCCTTCCCTCCATTATAGAGGCAGGAGAGGTATGGTTACAGAGAGGGCGATTGGGCTAACAGATTGTTTTCTAGTTTGTTACACGATATGCACAACAAAAAGATCATATCTATTGTCCATATACGCCTGCCTTGGTTTGCCTTGATCTCCACGTTGGTCGATGGCGCCGGCCCTCGCGGGCCTCCCTCTTGACGGCTGTTGGACCGATAGCTTAGCGGTGGTCATATATACGGGCGGTGCAGGTACCCCTGGCCCATATCTCTGACACATAGGTCCTCGATCACTCAGATTTTCATTTTGGTTCCATTTGTGTGATTTGCTCCCTCAAATTGCTTGGGTGATCAAAGAGGATAGATCACTCGAGTTTCAAATAGAAATATACAAAATTTAGGACTATGAGACAATTTACATACCATTGTACAAGTGGTTGTTGTCATGCAACTCGCAAACATTCTATTTTGTATCCATAAATTAATGACTCTAGAATTACTACGAGACAACTTAAAAGATAATCCACTACACTTGTTACCTCTTAAGTCGTCTCATAATTATGTGGCAATGCACGAGAGTGCCTATGAGACAGTAGCAATGCACTTGCCCTTAGTTGGCCGCAACGTGTGTGTAACGACGACAACATTCCAATGCAAGACCAGAGACATGAAAACGGCTGCCTCGGATCGCGGCAAGACGAACAGGTGTGCAGGGGCCTCCCGTGCCACCTCCATCCGACATATATATGGAACCAATTAACCGGCGGCCAAGAGCAAAGCTCGCTTGGACATGCATGCATGACCTCTCCGTCTCCGGTGCGTGCATGCAAGCTCGTCCGATCGCTGGCACGCGCGGCCATAATATAAATACGAGCCCCAGCCACCTGCTCATTCATCGCATCGTAGTTACATACCATCCACCGACGATCATCATCATGTCGAGGTCGATGCAGGTGGCGGTGGTGGTGGCGCTGGCATTTCTGGTGGGCGGCGCCTGGTGCGGTCCTCCCAAGGTTCCCCCGGGCAAGAACATCACGGCCAGCTACGGCAGCGACTGGCTGGAAGCGAAGGCGACGTGGTACGGCAAGCCGACGGGCGCCGGCCCCGACGACAACGGCGGCGGGTGCGGGTACAAGGATGTGAACAAGGCCCCCTTCAACAGCATGGGCGCGTGCGGCAACGTCCCAATCTTCAAGGACGGCCTTGGCTGCGGCTCCTGCTTCGAGATCAAGTGCGACAAGCCAGCCGAGTGCTCCGGTGAGCCCATGGTGGTGTACATCACAGACATGAACTACGAGCCCATCGCCGCGTACCACTTCGACCTGGCCGGCACGGCGTTCGGCGCCATGGCCAAGAAGGGCGAGGAGGAGAAGCTGCGCAAGGCGGGCATCATTGACATGCAGTTCCGGCGGGTCAAGTGCAAGTACGGCGAAAAGGTCACCTTCCATGTGGAGAAGGGGTGCAACCCCAACTACCTGGCGCTGCTGGTCAAGTACGTTGACGGCGATGGCAACATTGTGGCGGTTGACATCAAGGAGAAGGGCGGCGACGCGTACGAGCCCCTCAAGCACTCCTGGGGCGCCATCTGGAGGAAGGACAGCGATAAGCCGCTCAAGTTCCCCGTCACCGTCCAAATCACCACCGAGGGAGGCACCAAGAGCGTCTACAACGACGTCATCCCCGAAGACTGGAAGCCCGACACCGCCTACACCGCCAAATAAGCCGACACGCAGACCTACTGGTTTGGGCTGGGGCTTGGGTTGGATGCCATGCAACTTCCTAAGCAATGCATTACGCATGCATTGATCCATGCATGCATAATATCCATTTTTTTACTACTGCTACTGCGACGACGACAACGATGTCCTCCTTCTTCGTCTCCATATATAGCTAGAGCCAGGCTCTGCTCTGTTATTATTATTAACACGGAGAAGAGAGAAGAAATGGAGAGACGGAATACATAATAAGTGTCTAACGAGAGATTTGAGAGGCCTTTGTATAATAAAAGGATTCGAGGTGCGAGGCAAACAACACAAATGTCTGTACTGTCCATGGATCTCCCATGTAATCCCAATTTTATCATGATTATATTTTAAAAGAATACACATTTTTCAGTGACTAATTGAAATTTATGATAAGTACGTATCGATTCTAGATGTATTCTTTGCCTTGGCCATCCTTAACCATGGTCATTCTTTGAAGGTGAGGTACAATGTTATTCATGCTGCAAAACATAAGCTTCCTACTCTTAATAAGATGCACTTTCCATCATTGACATGCCTTCACTGCTTGCATTAATTATGTAATAATTTCCAACATTAAGACGACATCATGTATGCATCTAGACAACTGGGTAATAAGCGTGGTAAGTGTTACTCCCAAATTACATTACTCTGTCCAATAAATTACACTGGAGAAATCATTGTAAATATAGTAATAAGGCGGTGTAAATATAACTATAAGACAATGTAAGTGCATGGACAAAAATCTAATTGTTGGAAGGGGCTAAAATAACCGGTTATTGGCTAGATAGATCCCTAAAAAAATATCGACGCTCCTTTCTCCTCAAGCTCATTTGAAGGAGGAGACTCCGATGATCGCCTTTGAAATCCATAAAAGGTTGAAGTTTATGAAATATATCTATCTATTGCCTAACAAACACGTAGAAGTTATAACTAATTTATTTTTGAATTTATACTTTCAAAAATACAATGCATGACTGATTGGCTATGCACGTGTCTCCAAAGTCCAAACCCTACTATATCGTACCTTCCGTCCAGGCGTCCACTCAGATTTGTTTTTTTTTCTAGATTTGAATTGAACCTTACGTCTAAAACCTAAGGTAAAAAATAAAATCTCAAATTAATCTGGCGTTGGGCTGAATCTGTTCAAACTAGTCCATAGCCGAAAAAATTGCAAAAATAGGACTCCAAACATGGGAGGTTTGCAGATTTAACACTGGACCTACATTTTATAAACACAGATGGACCCATTTGTCATCCACCTCGACCCTGTTTGGCTCAACACTCTCCACCAACTCTAGGAGTCGACATTAAAATAGTTTCACCTGATGAGCTTTTTAGAACGTGTTCTCAAAATGGGGGGATGAGAGATGAAGGTGAAATAGTAGCTTCTTCTAACTCCCACTCACTCTGGTGGATCTTGCGTAGGATTTTGTGACAGCATGTTTTAAGGAGTTTCACGTGTAGAACTGTTTTGCCAAATATTTTACTAAAACAATTTTAGCTCTACCAGTAGACATGCTTGTGGAGGAGCTAAAGTAAAAAAAAATGATTTCATTTTTTTAAGTGAGGTGGTGCTCTGCCAAACATACGTAACCTCCTCGTCTCGAAAAAAAAAACGGACGTAACCTCCTCTCTTCTCGGTCGGTCAATATATATGCATGGTATCGATCCATTCATCTCTCTCTGCTTCCTTCCATTCATTTGGCGCTGCAGCGTGTAATGTAACGACGACGACGACGACATTCCAATGAAGAAGAGATCGAGCATCAGGGGGGACTGAAGACAGGATTAGGAGTACCTCGGATCGCGGCGAGACGAACAGCTGTAGGGGCGCCCGTGGTCATCTCCCTTATTAGCTTGTTATTACGGTACGCAATGCATGGAATAGCTAGCAAAGCTCGCTCGGCCATGCATGACTTGTATCTCCTATCCATGCATGCTATCTCCCCGGTGTGCATGCATGCGCGCGCGGCCATAAATACCAGCCCCGCCTACTCATTCATCGCATCGCAGTTACATACCATCCACCGATCGATCGAAGAAAGATGGGAGCGAAGATGATGTCGAGGTCGATGCAGGTGGCGGTGGCGCTGGCGTTTCTGGTGGGCGGCGCCTGGTGCGGTCCTCCCAAGGTTCCCCCGGGCAAGAACATCACGGCCAGCTACGGCAGCGACTGGCTGGAAGCGAAGGCGACGTGGTACGGCAAGCCGACGGGCGCCGGCCCTGACGACAACGGCGGCGGGTGCGGGTACAAGGATGTGAACAAGGCCCCCTTCAACAGTATGGGCGCGTGCGGCAACGTCCCCATCTTCAAGGATGGCCTCGGCTGCGGCTCCTGCTTCGAGATCAAGTGCGACAAGCCGGTCGAGTGCTCCGGCGAGCCCGTGGTGGTGTACATCACGGACATGAACTACGAGCCCATCGCCGCGTACCACTTCGACCTGGCCGGCACGGCGTTCGGCGCCATGGCCAAGAAGGGCGAGGAGGAGAAGCTGCGCAAGGCGGGCATCATCGACATGCAGTTCCGGCGGGTCAAGTGCAAGTACGGCGAAAAGGTCACCTTCCACGTGGAGAAGGGGTGCAACCCCAACTACCTGGCGCTGCTGGTCAAGTACGTTGACGGCGACGGCGACATTGTGGCGGTTGACATCAAGGAGAAGGGCGGCGACGCGTACGAGCCCCTCAAGCACTCCTGGGGCGCCATCTGGAGGAAGGACAGCGATAAGCCGCTCAAGTTCCCCGTCACCGTCCAAATCACCACCGAGGGAGGCACCAAGAGCGTCTACAACGACGTCATCCCCGAAGATTGGAAGCCCGACACCGCCTACACCGCCAAATAAGCCGACACGCAGACCTACTGGTCTGGGCTGGGGCTTGGGTTGGATGCCATGCAACTTCCTAAGCAATGCATTACTCATGCATTGATCCATGCATGCATAATATCCATTTTTTACTACTACTGCTGCTGTGACACCGCCGCCGCCATCCTTCTTCGTCTCCATATATAGCTAGAGCTACGCTCTGCTATGTTATTATTATTATTAAAAAAGAGAGGAGAGAAGAAAAGGAGAGACGGAATACATAATAAGTATCTAACGAGAGATTTGAGAGGCCTTTGTATAATAAAAGGATTCGAGGAGCGAGGCAAACAACACAAATGTTGTATTGTCTATGGATCTCCCATGTAATCCCAATTTTATTATGGCTACATTTTAAGAGAATACACATTTTTCAATGACTAATTGAAATTTATGATACGTACTTATTGGTTCTAGATGTATTCTTTGCCTTGGCCATCCTTAACCATTGTCATTCTTTGAAGGTGAGGTACAATATTATTCATGCCGCAAAACATAAGCTTCCTACTGTTAATAAGATGCACTTTCCATCATTGTGACGCCTTCACTGCTTGCATTTATTATGCAATTTCCAACATTAAGACCGCGTCATGTATGCATCTAGACCACCGGGTAATAAGCTTGGTAAGTGTTGGTCTAACGAGGTGATTCCTTGTAACACCCCAGAAGAAAACAACAACATAAATTTCCTTCTGGAGTATTATCACGCTACTACAATCTATAAAAGAACAAATCATCAGAGAACGCGGAAGCAACGAACATCATCTAAGTTGGACATTAAATTAAGTCCTCTACGATGGCATAAACAAAGCTAATTTCAAAGACAACTAGCAAAACTAAGGTGTCTAATATAACGTACAAAAAAAACTCTGACAACCAACTAATATGTGATAACAAATGTGCTTGTTTGAACTTTAGGCCAACAAGTATGCACTCGTGCAGCTACTCCCGTCCCGCCAAACATCCTTGAAGCTCATGTATCTAAGATGGGGGAACAAGCGTGTGAGGTTTATGGAAAGCCTTAGCAAGCAAACTGCCTCAACCAAGTTATTTAAATCACAGTTCGATTAAGCATCAACTTTAAATCGCATAATAATATAGACATCAGTTGCTTCATAGTAATATAAATATACTTCCAAGTACAATGTAAAGTACAATGCAAATAATGCAATGCAATGCATGATTTCAGTTTTATCCACACATCCCAAGGAGCGGGAGTGAGGGCTGCAACCACATTGCTCATCAACGTGAGTTGCTGTACCGTACTTATCGCACCAATTCGGCTACGATTTCTTCAAATGCATATCAATGGAAAAAGTACAAATGCAAATGTTGCAATGTATGCACTTCATACATTTCATAATCCAAATGTTATACCACAAGATATGAAACAATATACTTCAAAGTAAAGCAAATAACTCCAAATTTTAGATTTTATGGCTAGTGTGAGATACTATAAATTTAGTGGAGGCAATTCAAACAACAAAGCCAAATCATGTGGACCACGGCGCCACGTTTACTTGCCTTTACCGATGATCAAGCAAAAGAGCTAAGCACGTTCCAAAGGCAAACCATCTGATCACAAGCCACCCTCAGTACCAACATCATCATACCAACAAGTTCAAACAATAAATAGCACACTAGAATGCCCCCAAACCCGCCGTTCAAGATTCTAAGTTGTGCTGCCATTCTTGATAGCAGCACTGTCTATGTCTTTTTATATACTTTTAAACATATGTCCAAAAATTCTCAAAATATTCCAGATGATAGGAAACTCCGTTATATACAACTTTTGTATAATAGGATTCAGCATAAGGGATCTCCAAGATGGCATAAACATCCTCATAACATAACTAAACTTTTCTGATGGTGAAAACATGACTGCAATATTATAAAATTCATAACCAGAGATATACTGGTCCAAAATACTTGTTCTATAACATTCTGGAAAGCTTAGGAAGGACCCTACAACTTTTGTTCAGATGACAATTCCACATTCTTCCATTACTATGGCTCTCCTCTCCTATCTCCATCCAACTCGGGCTCTCGCTACACACTTCACAAGCCCATTCTGGGCTAGATACCCGCACGCTCCTAGGCCTTGCTCCTTTGCTCCTTATGGGTTGTCCATCTCTAGGGTGAGGGACAGGGTCCGTGACACCCCCCTCCTTTGGTTGTAGATTGTCCCCAAGCCGGCGCCAGATGGAAGCGTTGTTGCAATGCTTCTACATATTCCCAAGTAGCCAGGTCGATGTCTATACCTGACCACTTGATGAGTACCTGGGCGACGGTCTCAGAGCCGTGTTGGTGAAGACGACGCTGGAGGATAGCTTCTGTGACTTGCAGGCCTTCAGTGATGTCGGGGAGGATGGCCGAAGCAGATATCTTGTCATTGGGCGTGGGCTTGAGCAACAACACATGGAAGACAGGGTGGAGCGTGGCACCCTTTGCTATCAGCAAACTTGTAGGCGACGGAGCCGATCCTAGACAAGATCTTGTAGGGGCTGAAGTATTTGATGAAGAGCTTCTGGTTCGCCCTTGGAGCTAGAGATGACTGGACGTTGGGTTGGAGCTTCAGGTAGACGAAGTCCTCCTCCCAGAACATGCGCTCGGAGCGGCACTCGTCCCACCTAGGTCTTCATGCGTTGTTGAGCTCGCAGAAGGTGTTGTCGAACGACATAAAACATCGTAGAGTGTTCAGTCACCACACTTGTAACATTCGAAACAGAGGAAGCGGGTGGCGGAGAAAGGCTAAAATGGTGAGGTGGATGACCATATAGTACCTCAAATGGCCATCGATTGAGGGAGGAGTGCTGACTGGTGTTGTACCAGTATTCCGCCATGGGAATCCACCGACCCCACTGCCGAGGGCAAGCATGGATGAAGCTACGGAGGTAGGTCTCGAGGCACTAGTTCACCCGCTCCGTCTGCATGTCGAACTAGGGGTGGTAGGCCAAACATACCGAGCGTCGATGCTCTGGTTGCCCCTACGCGACAGGGTCTGGACGCAGGCACACAGCGCCACGCCCCTAGGGTATGGTTTCGGACCAACCAGGCCCTAGGTCCGAAGCCCCTAAACACCTCCTTTTCATCTCCAATCACTTCACGCTTGTGCATGTGTGTCAACTCCAAGTATTCCAACACATGTATATGTGAGTTAGCAACATTGTCAAAGAATTTTCAAGCGTGTTAAGTTAGGACACTAGGTCCTAATGCATATGCAAGTATGAATTCACCTAGTGTCACTTGATAACAATTTTAACTATGATTTTCCCCACTTCATAGTACGACTATCAATTCTAAACCCAATCACACCCTCTATGGTGTCTTGATTGGTGAAACAAAAACATATTTATACCTTTGCCTTGATCTCTATAGATTTTTATTTTTCTCTTTCTTCTTTTCCAAGTTGGAGCCTTGATCATCATCATTTGTCCACCTTCATCACAATGGACCTCATCTTGTGTAACAGACCGGGATTTCCAAAATAGAAATTCTAACCTTTTTGCCCCTCTGTGATAGTCCTAGGATATCTCGGCTATCACGGACGTCCAATTTACAGCTGATTACAGAGTCATACAACATCAAATTGCACAAATAAATATATTACAATAGTTTGGATACGACTAGCAACAAGCAAAACACCATTAAACTATTATGGAAGTGAAGCTTGGTGATCTCCCATCCAGAGGCATCCTTGAGTGTAGAACGAAACCAGCTACTAATCTAAATATCACTGTCATCCACCATCAAAGTCCATCACCTCCAGGTGCGTCGTTGGATCCATCGGAGCTCGAGTCGTCGCTACGCAAAGAAAATGCCGATAACGGCCACTAAGAAGAAGCAATAAAACCATGATAAAAACCTAACTCAACTAGACTCAAGAACTGCACTTGGAGGTAGAGAAACTGGTTTCATAATTTTTGGAGCTAGGATGAATTTCATATGAATTTTTGAAGTTGACAAGGATTTCTGAAAATAGATAAATGGAAAAAGGGCTAGGATCAAGTGGGCTCTCGGTCTGTTGTAGCCCAAGAGAGAGGCGATCCAACGGGCGCGCCTAATTTTTTACAATTTGGCCCTTTTTTGAAGAAAATTTACGCTTGGCCCCCAGGGAGACTTAAACTCACCTTTAGACCCTCGGGGTCGGTGCCAGGACTCATGGTGCCGACGTAACACGTCTCGGCACCACAGATCTTGGCGCCGAGCTGCCTGGCCGAGCATAGCAGGCCATCCTAGGTGGCGCTCACGCGGCCGGTACCTCGGCGCCACAGATCTTAGCGCCGAGCTCGACGCCACAGATATTGGCGCCGAGCATTGATTCAAAACCCACGGCCATGGCCGCGGCTGCCACTCTCTCTCTCGCGCGCTCTGTCTCTGCCTCTGCCTCTCACCGCCGCCGCCGTCGTCGTGTCCGTGACGCAGTCGGCCACGCCTCCTTCACCGGCAGCAGGCCATAGCCCGCCGTCCAGGCCCTGCGCCTCCTACCCCTCCGGGCCCTTGTGCCCCCGCGCAACCGCAGCAGTCTGCCACCGCGCCCCCATCGCCGTGCGAATCCCGGCCACCCTCATCGCCCCTTCCCTCCTCCTCATCTCTGTCCGGCAGTGAGGCCGGGCCGCCACCGCTCGTCGGAGCTCCCGCCAGCCGGCTGGCCTCCGGGCCCTGCGCCCCCTTCCCCTCTGGGCTCCTGCGCCCCTGCCAGGTAATTTAGTTAGTAAATTAGTTAATCTACTTTAGGTAATTTAGTTAGTAAAATTTTTAGAATATTTAGCAAATTTAGTTAGCAAATTTAATTACATAGGTTGAAAGTTAGATGCTTATTTATTTAGTTATATTATATACTTAGGAATATATGTATGTAGCTTATTTAGTTAGATTAGATTGTTAGAGACATAATTAGGGAGTTAGTTACCTATTGATTTAGTTAGCTAGTTAGTAAGTGTAGTTACCAAATCTATTATCTTGTTATAGAGATAGTTAGA